GATCACAATCCTGATTCTACTCGTTTATTTATAGACAGGACTCTCATTATATAGTCTGTAGCCAGCCTAGGAGTAAGACTGCTAGACAACCCCAGCCTCCTGAGTCAAGAGCTGGTATTGAAGATGTGAGTCACCATGCCCAGATGAAGTCCCTCTTGGGGAGACAGAGGCAGGATCCCATCTCAGGGCTTTTTCTACCATTTCGTCTTCTGCCAAATCATCCATGCCTGGTGTACCATACTTCAGTGTTATTCCACCATGTGGAGTGAGATGATGTCTCTCAGATGATGTCTGCCCAGGACAGACCAAGGCAGACCCGGCTCCGTGTGCCCCTTAGCAGCTGTCAGTCAGGAGTGGCGAGTGAAGGAGCAAAGTCTCCTGTCCAACTCTTCCTACCCTGGCTCTGGCCCTAGGTCACCTGGTTAAAAATTGGCCAGGTGTGTGTGAGAAGCTCAGGTCAACTCCAATCCACGTGTAGTCATATTTGTCTGTGACCATTAGATGATAATCAATAGATCGGTCCTGAAATTTCACAAGAAGCTGAGCCTTGCTCAACTTGGGTTGGAGAAGTACCATAATATCCGCCGTTGCCTCTGAGGGTCTATACGTGCCGCTATGGTACCCAGTGCATCCGGAGGAACAGTAGTGTTAGAATGAAGATATATCATGAAATACATATCATGGCTTAGACAAAAAGGGCTAAATAGACACTCATCAACATGAAGTAAAGGTGGAGCCATGCTGGGTAGTGGTGGCAAACAACTTTAATCAAAGCACTGGGGAAGTAGAGGCAGAAGGATCTCTGTAAGTTCAATGCCAGCCTGGTCTACAGAGTGAGTACGAGGCCAGCCCAGTTTACAGAGTGAGACCCTGTCTCAAAACTAATCAACCAGCCCCACAGAACCAAAAACCAAACAAACAAAAGAAGTGAAGCCGAGCAGAAAAACAGCTGCTTCTTCTGTCTGATATGTCTTTCTCTTCGTGTACATGCTTTCCATTTAAAAAAAAATTATCTGGGCTGCAAAGATGGTCCAGAGATTAAGAGCCCTGTCTCTTTTCCAGAGGTCCTGAGTTCAATTCCCAGCAACCACATAGTGGCTCACAGTCATCTGCAATGAGATCTGGTACCCTCTTCTGGCCTGCAGGCATACATGGAGGCAGAATACTATACATAATAAATAAATCTTTAAAAATATTTATTTATATTTATTTTTATTTTATGGTTGGTGTTTTGCCTGCATGCAAATCTGTACACCACATATTTTTCTAGTGCTCCTAGAAGCCAGAGGTTCTCTTGGAACTGGAGTTACAGCCAGTTGTTAGCATTCAGGTGAGTGCTGGAAATCAAGCCTGAATCCTCTGAAAGAGCAGCCAGTGCTCTTAACCACTGAGCAATCTCTCCAGCCCCCAACCCTGGACCTCTTTATATCTGGGCTGCTGATGGAGGGTGCTGCCTATCCACTCTGGGGCCATGCAGAGATGTGTTTCTTAGTTGTTTACAGATCTGATCAAGTTACTCAAGATTAAACATCAATTTGTGTCCCCTTACACAAAAATGCCATAACTGTAAAGGCCACAAACCATTTTCTGACTGAATTTGAGGCCTGCTGTCAATAGCTCATAGCTGACAACCTCCAAGGCTCTGATGGGATCACTGATACTGTGGTTTTGCTGAATGGATGTGTAGTCAAACTGCCTTCTAAATGTTTGTATTTATGTCCATGGATTAGGACTATCCCTACTTTGATGAGAGAAGTTCCTTTTACAATGGACAGCAGTCAATGCCGAGATTTAGAACTGGTCAACGGGCTAAGAATAAGTGACTGTTAAATGCTCAGCCCCAAATGTATCATTTGACGTGAGGTTGTATACATGTAAGATTGGTTCATCTGCATCAACCATTTGAAGGCTTGGAGAAGAGGAGGTGGACCGTCTGTGAGAGCTGAGGCCGTGATTGGGCGCTGCTCACAGCAGTTGTGATCACCTGACAAGACCAGGCCAATCAGTGCTCAGTCATAAACAGGAGAGGGGATCATGAGGCCCCATCCTTTTCTGATATTGACGGTCAATGGTTCCTGGGGGAGGCAGAGACATCTTCCCTAGTGGTGTAGCCACTTGTAAGTTTTCCAAGCTCCTGTAAAAAAAAAACTTAGACAACAATGAGGACACTAAGAGAGACTTACATAGATATAATCTACATGGAAAGTAGAAAGTAGAAAAAGACAAGATCTCTGGAGTAAGTTGGGAGCATGGGGACCTTGGGGGAGGGTTGAAGGGGAGGGGAGAGTCAGGAAGGGGAGCAGAGAAAAATGTAGAGCTCAATAAATATCAATAAAAAAAGAAGGAGAAGGTCTACACTGGAATGAAGTTATCGCTTCCACCCCAGCAACTTGTTATCGACGACAGCTGGCAATAAACCACACACTCCTGAAAAGAGTTCTCACCTGAGAAATCGACTTGATTTGGTCCTGGCTTGCGGGACCCAAAGCAAACTCCCATGTTTATGATCAATTGAATCTCAACAAAATGCTGCAAAATCATTCTTAAGAACATATTTAGCTGTGGTGGTGCACGCCTTTAATCCCAGCACTCAGAGGCGGGCGGATCTCTGTGAGTTCGAGGCCACCCTGGTCTATACGAGCTAGTTCCAGGACAATTTTTTTCCAAGAAGAAATGATTCTGGGAGAATTTGGTATCCACACGTGAAAAAAACAAGTGCTGGTGACTATGAATCACCACCAATAAAATTCACACAGAATGCAACACTAAAAGTATGAAATGAGATGCGCAAACTCTAAGAAAAGGACATGGGCGCACGTCGTTGTGACTGGGTCAGGCAAGACTTTGTGTCAGGACATTAAAGCCTAACAGCTCCATCACCATGCGCAGCGTGCTTCAGACACCGCCAAGGAGAGCAAGGCAAGATGGCTAGAAGAAGAAAATACTGGTGCGTTCATGTGCCTGATGAAGAACTCACATCCAAGACATACAAGGGACTACAAACACCAGCGAAAGGTTAATCCAATTTAAAGCCGGAGAAACAATCTATCTAAACCTCCTCTATGAGGTACACTAATGGCCAATAGGCCCGTGGTGACCCCTGTGCTCCACATGTTAGGGGAATGCAGATGTGCCCCACACGCCACGTTGAGTAAACCTGGTTTAGTTAAAAAGGTAGGAAAAGGGACTGGAGAGATGGCTAAGAGGTCAAGAGCATTGCCTGCTCTTCCAAAGGTCCTGTGTTCAATTCCTGGCAAAAACATAGTGGCTCATAACCATCTGTAATGAGGTCTGGTGCCCTCTCCTGGCCTGCAGACATACACACAGACAGAATATTTTGCATGCAGACAGAATATTGTGGGGCCACGGCCAGGGTCAGGGCCAGGGAGAGCAAAGCACAGGCAAGAGTGGCCATGAAGGTCACATTCCAGTAAATGTATTAACAGAGAAGCTAGCTGAAAGTAGTGAAGAATGTCTGTAATCTCAGCCTCAGAGAGGGTGAGGAAGGAGGTTCGCAAGTGAGGATAGCTTGGACCACACAGCAAAACCTATCTCAAACAAACAAAAATAAAGCACCTCCCACCCCCAGCCACAGGTTGGAGAGATGGCTCAGTGATTAAGGGGACATACAAGACCTGCATTGGGCAGCTCACAGCTTTCTGTAAATTCAGCTCCAGGGCAATCAGAAGAAGCCCATGGCTCACACACACACACACACATCTGTGGCTATCACACAATGCATATGTGCATACACACACACACACACATCTGTGGCTATCACACAATGCATATGCGCATACACACACACACACACACATCTGTGGCTATCACACAATGCATATGTGCATACACACACACA